AAGACCTAAATGTCCTTGGGGTGGTGAAGTCATAGAACAGCAAGGAAACTTAATTATAATAGACCTCATGGCTTGCTATGGACAACAGACTGATGGGTGTATTAATTGATAGCCAAAACCTGTTGTTACCTTCCAGTATGGTGTGGTAGTTCCTGAAGACCACGAAGTGAAGTGGTCACAGACTTTCTAGCAGCCTTCTGAAGTAGGGTGAGGTGGGCTCTGTGGTTCTGTGTGCCTGAGAGAAGCCTTCATCAGGGAACAGCACCATTATGAACTGAAACAATTCTACCTCTCCTCAGTTCTTCCCTCTTATTGGTCTCTTCTTAGTGTCTACTGCTAATATCTAAGTAAATATGCAGGGAAGAGCAGGAAGATTATGCCTTGGGAAAGAGAATAACTACCTGTTCATTTTGTGTAGAGATTTTAAAGCTGTTCTAAATAATAGTTACTGTTGCATATGGTTCCCCCTTGTATGCAACTAATATTTTCTTCCAAATGGAAGAAAACCCTAAAAGCTCTTTAAAAGTTGTTTCAATTTATGAAAGGAATGCTCTGATAGCATTACCTTAATCTCACCTCAGCTCTGAGATCCTTTCCTGTTGCATGTCCTTGAGAAATGACCAAGGGAACACCTGGATGGCCAGATGCAATACAACATGCCTCTTGGTTCAGCATGGTGTGTATTTAAGGGGGCTCTGTAACAGTTCTGAGTTTGAAGCTGACAGCTGCTCTCAGAGGTATCAGCTCTGTGTGGGTTGGTCAGCTGATGGTACGAACCAGATGCAGTGTCTAATGAAACCTGTGCATGCCGCAGGTTCTGCTCTCTAACACACCTGCTTCTTGCTGAGCACAAACCTTTGAAATTTCTGTATGCAGATGATGCCCAGTGAAGAGGTGGAATTGTCTGTCCTTGAGCTCAAAGGAGCTGCATGGGTCTGATATTTACAGTTACATTATTCTGATAAAGGAAGTTGCAGCACCGTGCCTGGAGCAGCCTTATCTCAGTTTGTACAGATGTGTGCTGATACTTCAAATGAGGCTTCAGGGAGATGGTGAAGTACCTGTGTAGGGCTTGCTGAGTAGGGGAGCAGATGCAGGTCTACTAATATCTCATTAAAGTAGTCTTTAATTTTATAAATAAACAGGAAAAAAAGCCTCTGAGAAACTGATGTATGGAAAATGGATTTTGGTGACACTGGTCACTGTAAAATTTCTACTCCTAACTGTAATACAGTAATTAATTGTACAGGCTTTGAAACTAGCAGGAATCTCTGTATAGTGAAGCCTGATGTCTGCCTAATTGCTCTCCTGGAAGGCTGCTCTGAGCTCTGGGAAGTGTTACCTCTGAAAAGGGAGCCAAAACTTGTTCTGAGTTGGCACTTTCCCGGAAGAAAGGTGGCAGGTAGACCAAGCTTCCAGAGTAAACTTCATTCACTTTGTTTACAGTAAATTCATGGCTGGTTAACTTTGATGTCATACTGTGTGGTGGCAGCAGTGGCTGAAGTTGGGGTGCATGTACTCCTGTGCAGTTCTTGCCTCCAGCTCTCCCAGGAGGAAAACCCGGAAGAAAGGTGGCAGGTAGACCAAGCTTCCAGAGTAAACTTCATTCACTTTGTTTACAGTAAATTCATGGCTGGTTAACTTTGATGTCATACTGTGTGGTGGCAGCAGTGGCTGAAGTTGGGGTGCATGTACTCCTGTGCAGTTCTTGCCTCCAGCTCTCCCAGGAGGAAAACCCCAACCCCCATAATGGGAGTCTTAAGATTCATGTCTGGAACAGGGCTGTGAGGTGAAGGCAGAACTCCAGTTGCTACGGGTGGGTGGTGCCATCAATGTATACCAACCCCTGCCTTAGTGTAGCTCATGTTTTTGTGTTTACTGAGTCCTGTTGTGCACTATTCTTGTCTAGACTTCCTTCTTTCATCTGTAGTAAGTGCTGAGATTGTCAGTTTTCTAAGGCTGAATTCTCACCACGGCTTCTGTGTTTAGTTTGCATTTATTTTTCCCCCTTCAGCACAGAGTCCTTTTGGAATATCAGTTTTATTCCAGGATCTGAGTGCAATTTGAATTCCTGCTAATCCTTACTGGAATTTGAGTGTTTAAAGGTTTTCAGTTTTTCTTTTTTTTTAAGAAGTCATCTGTTCTCCAGAAAAGATTCCTGAACTTTAGTAATAATTTGGAGTATTTCAGCATCTCTTCTGTAATATGACCCTTGGAATAAAAGTAATGCCAAAGTATTGCTTTACTTTTTCAGTTTAACTCCAGAAATTGTGTTTAAACTTCCTTCTGCAGGCTGTCAGTATGTCTGCCTGTCAGACACAGGGCTCCTCCAGCAGCTCTCTGGGACTCAGCGAGGGTCTAGGCTCACGGCAGGAGTGAGTCTCTGGTGTTGCTGTCAGTAACCTGCCTCCTCAAGCTGGGGGTCTGGCTGTACACAGCAGGGGGTGTGGTATCTCTCACCTCCTTTAGGGGCCTAATGTCATGGGAAGATTGATGGTGGTGCTTTAGCAGAGATGTGGCTTCAAGTTAGTCTGACCTTCCCACCCATTTCTTACAAACTTTGTTGCCAAGCACAGAATTTGGTTTTCTAACTCTCACTTTGAAGTGGGAACTGAGTATTGATGCAAATGTAATAAAGCAGTGACAGTTTCTCTTTTATTGAAATAGCATAGTTCGACTTCTTTACTTAGAGTATAATGAAAATTGACATGTCTTAGCAAGCAAAAAAGGTCTGTCAAGTAAAGAGAAGTCTATTTAGCAGTAAAGAGTCTAGTTGGGACTCACTTGAATTTCTTTGTGACACAGCCTGCCCAGAGTTCCCAGCTTACACATTCCTTAAAAAAACCTCTCCTCACCTTCCAGTGAAGCTGCTTACAGGCTTGAGTAGTAGGATGTGTCCCCTTCCTGAAGTGCTTGCACATATAAATTAACCTTTCCAGGCTTTCTTACTTCCACTTCCACACCTCCCAATCTTCAGTTTAACCTTGTCCGCTATCAGGCAGAGCGGAGCCGCAAGCGTGGTCCTCCCAGAGAGCACGTGGCAGGTGAAGTCTCCTGGAAGAACAAGTGCATTGGATCAGAAGATGCTTTGCTGGGCTCTTACTGCTGCTGGCACGTGCTGGAGAAGAATGTAACGTGTGAAGATGTGTTCAGAAAACTTGATCTAATGGATGTTTTCAGAGTGACAGGTTAACTTTGAACTCTACGTGGAGCATTGCTTGTCTTTATCTGCTGATGCTGAAAATAACTGGTGCACCTTCCACCTCCAGGAGGTGAGGCAGTGAAGCTGCTGCCTTGCTCAGTGGGGAGCTGTGCATTTTCAGGTGTGGATGCGAGTTCCTCCCAGGTACAGTGACACAAAGAGATCTGTCTGCTGGTCGTGGTTTGCCAGAGACCGAGGAGGACAAAGTGTGGGATGGCTGCAGAAGAAAAACTTCCCTCCACTGTGGCAGAAGTTTCCTCTAAAATACACTTGATTCACCTGACTTCTTGGAACTTGTGCAGCACTCAGTGTGGAATTCCACCACATACAAGAATTGCTGTCCAGAATTGTCTTTTTTTTTGTACTGTCTTGCATTAAACTTGGTTTAATAGAACAGTGTGTGTGTGTGTATATGTGTATAAGGCTTAGCAGGGATGCTTTGTGTGCTGTTTGGGGTGGAAGGAGCTGAGGGTTTCCACGTTGGGAGGCAGGGTGAGGAGGGGCACGGCGCAGCTCAGCGCCTGGCACGCAGCAAACCCCTCTGAGCTGCCTGCTGGAGCTGGGCCCCTTCAAGGTCCCGATAAGAGCGTTTGCTTTAACCTCAGCTGTGTGCTGTGAATGAGATCTGTTGTCAGTCACTTTCTAATGACTGCAGTTGGCTGCTGTGGTGTAATTGTGGTTGAGACAGGCTTACAAGCTTTCCTGCATTTTTACTTTACAGTACTGGCTTCATGTGTCATGCGGATGACACATGACTGAATGACAATCTTCCTTGGCTAAAGCAGAGTTCTTTACAGAAGTACCAGGTTTTTCTCATGGCTGGCTATCTGCCATGCAGGAGCAGGAAGGGAAATGGTGAATTCCTAGTGGAAATTTTCCACTTGCTTAACTCATGATGCTGTGTCTAGTTTAAGGTAAAGCCTGGGCCAAAAGCAGGCATTTTGTACCCTGTACTGCCAGTATCTGGTCTGTATAGACTTGTAGCCCTGGTTAACTGATGTGCTGCTAAGTCAGCTATTGCTCCCTGCAGGTTTACACTACTGAAGCCAGTTCTGATTCCTCCTACATTTAGGAAAGCACAGGAAAGCTCTGGAATGGTGGAAGTACCCAATCTAATTTTGACTATCCCTTAGAAAAGAGAAACTGCTAAGCCCTGCCGTAATGCCTGTGCTGACAAAGCCACAGAGATGTTAACTAACTTCCTGAACATCTGATTTGTGGCTTGTGCCACTTTTCTGGCATGGGCATGGGGCAGTCCAGACCCAGCCACAGCTACTACAGCATTCTTTTCAGTAATTCTTAGCTGTTTGATGCAAGCTGCACAGTTTCCTTTGTTCCTGTTGCAAGTCTCAAAAGCGTGAGGTAATATTTCCTCATTTCTGGGTTTGTTAAAGCTTTTCAGATTTTTTCTTTTGGAATCTGATTTTATTTTTATTTCATGTATCAGCTGTTTGAGTGAGTGCTGGTCTGTGCAGTCACTGTACAAAGCAAGAAGCTACTGGAGTTTTTCAATTACTTTGTCTTTCTGGATAAAATTGCTCTGTGTGGCATCGATATTCATTCATGTTTCTACTTGGAGGCCTTGCTGACAGGGTTTCAGAATGATGGGGGGGTTCTGATGAACATCTCTGGTGCTAGCTCATCAGGGAAGTGCACAGACTTGAACTGTGACAGGAGAGTTGGAGGGGAAGGAAGGGGAGGGGAGTTTGTTTGCTTATATGAACGGGAGTGGACAAACTGGGTTGAGTTTGGTGAACAAGTCCCAGTTCTGATGTGTTCTGTTTTTTCTTTTAGTGCCACAATGGCAACCGCACCTTACAACTACTCGTACATCTTTAAGTACATCATTATTGGTAAGTAGCCCTGGGCAGGTGCTGGCGTGCCTGGCTGTGTGTGTGTGACAGGGTGGCCACAAACCCTGCTGCTGGGCTGTGGTGTGTGCCCCTCCCTGTGCAGCAGGGCTTCCTCCAGCAGGCCCTGCTGCTCTGTCCCTCACGAGTGCCACGCTCGTGTGGGGCAGGTCCCTGCCTGGGGCACAGAGTGAGCTGTGACTGCTGCCAGGGGAAGGACCAGGGCCTGCACTGAGCTGCTGTTAAAAATACTGTTCTGTCATAGGTACTGTGCTGTTCTTGAGCATCTTCACTGTTCTGATACTTGGCCTCTGCATAGCAGTGGAAAAAAGGCATTCTAAAAATGTGACAGTGGTCCCTGTCTCCCAAAATTAAGCTTATATTTAGAAAAATTCCTAAGTCCATTGGAAATGGGAAAAACTTTAATGGGAGTTGAAAAAACTGGGAGGGTGTGTTGGTTTGGGTTTCTTGTAGCACTTTGCATCTTTAGTCTCAAAGGTTTTAGGAGCTGTGTTGAAGACACAAGTGCTAATTGGAATCCATTGCTTCAGACAGGCCTGTAAACCTCTGCCAGGCTATGGGGTTGTGTTAAAGGTTCCTTTTGGCTGCAGCTTCCTTGGCTGTTTAGTCAGGGACCTGATTGCATTTATTACTACCCTGGAAGAACTGGTCTTGCTGTTAATTAATTCCTAATGACCCTTGTGCAGGTGTAAGTGATCTGCAGTCTTGCTGTAATGTTTTGAAGTCAGGCTGCTGTGACAGCCTCAGCCTGTGGAGCACTTGGTTCTTAACAGATCTTGCTTTTTCTTGCTGTTGGCATTGTGTAAGTGGATCAGTGGAAGTGAAGCAACTTCTTGGTGTGTTCTGGTTGGTTGTGTTTTTGATGTTCTTACCAGTGATTGCAAGTAAGACAGGAGCAGAACAATCACACAAGGTGTATTTTACCTTCCATCTGCTTCCCATACAGCTGTGTTTCACAAGGTTAAAATCAGTAATACAGATAACACTTCTCTGAGTGTTCCACTCCACCCTTGCTTGCACCCCTGTACCTGTTACCCAGGCTGTAGTGCCAAAGCTGGGAAGTGCCAGGAGTGCAAAGGGCACAGCAGGCTGCTCACTGGAGCCACTGACCTGCCTTGTGGGGGGTGAGGGAAACGTGCTGCTTGCAACAGTGATGTGGTGTCAGCTTAACTGTTCTTTCTGTAACAGGGGACATGGGTGTAGGAAAGTCCTGTTTGCTTCACCAGTTTACAGAAAAGAAGTGTGAGTATTTCAGTTCACAGTATTTATTCTGCCTGGTGTGCTTTCATCCCTTTCCTGCCCTTTTGCTCCTATCATGCATGAGCTTGGTGTGGTATCTGTTCTAATCTCTGTGGGTTTGAATGGCATTTGGTCAGAGTTTTATTTTGACTTCTCCAGATACAGGGGCACAATGTTGATGTAGTACTGGCAAAAACTGCTGCTTCAGTCCTACCTGGGATGAGTGGGAAGAGTGTGTGTGTCCTTTCAGCTTTTCCAGCTTTGTTCTGATACAGAACAGTGCCATTTCTTGTCCGAAATCTGCATGTTTTCAATAGTGGTGTAGCTTGAACACAAGCAATTATAGTTTTTTTAGTACTGTTACAGAACAAAGTGACATTTGTCTGAAATCTGCATGTTTTCAATAGTGGTGTAGCTTGAACACAAGCAATTATAGTTTTTTTAGTACTGTTAATAACTTCAAAAAGAAAAAGGAATTTTTTTGATTGTTTGCAGACAAGTAGTGCTGTCATTTTCTAGCTGCTGTGACTGATGAGACTTTGGCTGCCCTGTGTGGTGGTGTTTGAGGCTCACTGATAGTGGTGTAGCTTGAACACAAGCAATTATAGTTTTTTTTAGTGCTGTTAATAACTTCAAAAAAGGATTTTTTTTGATTGTTTGCAGACAAGTAGTGCTGTCATTTTCTAGCTGCTGTGACTGATGAGACTTTGGCTGCCCTGTGTGGTGGTGGTTGAGGCTCACTGCAGTCTCTCCCAACTGTTTTCTCATGTGTGCTCTCATGACTGACCATGAACCAGCTTTAATTCTGCTCACAAACTGGAGCCTCTCTGTGCAGCTCCTGCACGGGGGCTGAGCCTGTTGGTGTTGGGCAGGGTGGAGTCAGCCTTTACCACGGGCTGCTCGAGGTGTGGCAATAAATGGGCAGGAGCCACAGTGTAAATTATCCGTTTTCTAGTGAAAATAGGCTTTTCACTGTTGCTTTTAATTAAAATCCACTTTCAGCAAATTGTTTAAATTCTATGTTGCCTACCTATAATTTTTGATTAGGGTGAGTCTTGTTGTTAGTCTGCAAGTGCTCAGCTGACCATACTCACACGCCAGACACCTCTGCTGCAAGGTTGTCACTAGCTGTAGGTGGCTTGGATAGGTGCTCAGCTTGGATTTTCTTCATCTTTCTTAATGATGAGCTTAAGATGAGTTTATTGTAACTAGAAGGACACCTTTTTGGTTTTGATTTGCTGTCATGATAGTTGCTTCTGAACCCATTTTTCTTCCTCTAGACAGTCCTGCAATTACCCTTCTGAAAAAACTGGGTATTTGCTTCTGAAGCTGTGTTTTACAGGCTTTTAACTGTATCTTGGTAATACCCTAAAAATTATCTTTTCCTGCTGTGCTAAACTAGTTAACCATTTCTGTAAGGACAGGCTGAGAATCAGCTGCCTTGATACCTTCTGAGAGAGATATAAATGGCCAACCAGCAGCAGACAAGGCAAGGAATTTTATAACTGTTTTAAAAACAAACATTGGTTCAGGAAATAACTTCATTTCAGTTTTATTTAAGTGGTACCATTTGGGTACTGTAGCTGTAAAAATGCTTTCTTAGAGACTAAAAATCCAGTAAAGATAACTGCAAGCTGGTGGTAGGATGATCTTTGTAGGAGGGAGACCTTGTACTAGAAAGATCTAATCTTTGCTCTTATTTTTCATGACAGTTATGGCAGACTGTCCCCACACAATTGGTGTTGAATTTGGCACAAGAATAATTGAAGTTAGTGGCCAAAAAATTAAACTACAGATTTGGGATACAGCAGGCCAGGAGAGATTCAGGGCTGTCACACGAAGCTACTACAGAGGAGCAGCAGGAGCTCTCATGGTCTACGACATCACCAGGTAAGGTGCTGCCCGCGGGTGCCTCTCGAGCGGTGCTCTGCCTGTGCCTGGTGAGCTCTGTGGGGACCACGGCCTTGCACATATGTCCCTGGACAGATTTAAAGGACTCTGTCTCTGTCTGGATTTGTGTCCTGTTGTGTGAAGCTTACCGTGCAGCTTTATCCAAATGCTTTAAGTATTTAAAGAGCTGGGAATGAAAGGCGGGGCGTTAGGTGAGCTGCCCCGCGGAATGTCAGCGCTGACGGGCACGAGGCTGTTGCTGTCTCAGGCCTCTGCTGCCTGTGGTGAAGCTGTTTAAAGAACTGGCTTTCTCCTTAAAATCTGCTTGTCAGTACATGGGTTTTTTTCTCTCCTGGAAGGCAGTGGATACTGCTGCTTACCTGGCAGGAGTGTTCCTGGAGCAGGCGCAGGTCTGTTGCAGTGAGCTCTGTAAACATGCCTGCCAGCCTGTGTGGGGATGAGAGCATTGCAGAACTGACCTCTGGGCCTCTCCATGGGCTCATCCTCCAACAAAAGCAGCCTGCGTGGAAGCTGTCCTGTCTCCCTTCTGCAGCTGAAAATGAAAGGTGCTGCTAAAAGAAGCAGCAGAAGTGCACTTTGAAATACTTCTGCTTCTGCATCTCCCATCTTCATCTGGGGCTGCTCTTGATAGTCTTCAAGAACCTTGTTTTTTTCCTGCACATATAGGTGTATTTCCTGTTTGCTTAAACCTTGAGTTTAACAGTTCTAGGCACTGTTTGTTCATGAAGTGCTGTTTTACTGTACCATGTCCTGTAAGAGTATTTGACAGGAAATTCTTTCATGTCTCTATACAAAATAACACGAGCGTTGTCTTTGTGAAGGTGGCAGAACTGCCACATCCTGGGAACACCAGTTGCTGTGTCTGCCTGCCTGGGGTGGTCTCAGTTGCTCTGAGGTGATAAAGTCAAAATCTTTCAAAGAAAATGTTGCAGCTTTGTCTGTCTGGAGGCTGGGGAGAAGAACAGGGCTGACTGGTGTCGGTGGGTTTAATGGGGGCTGACTGTGCTCTTGGCACTTCAGTATTTTAAGAACTCCTGCAGCTGAAACTGTTCCTGCTTGCCTCTTTGCAGAAGAAGTACATATAATCACCTAAGCAGCTGGCTGACAGATGCGAGGAACCTCACCAATCCTAATACTGTAAGTTGGACTTCATTTGGCTTGAAAGCAAGATTGCTGATCTCTGAGCAAGAGGTGGAAAGCTCAGGCCAAAGCCTCTGCAGTGGTAGCAGTGTTCTCCTAAACTGTTCTCACCTCCTTAGCTCTGGGCTATCCTTGTCTCCATTTTGCAGTATCTTGGTGACTCTCCCTTCCTGCAGCTGGAGCAGAAGCATGGGCTCCTGGGCAGGAAAAGCAGTGGTGTCTTCTGGAAGTCTTCTCATGCCACCCACCACTCGGGCTTATTTGCAGCAGTTGGAGACAAATTTGTGATTAACCCTGGACAAACCTTAACTTTTATTACTCTTTCTTGCTGTGTGGTAGTAATGAGGTGAATGCTCTCTCATCTGAGATCAGAATATAGGCTGGGTCCTCAGCAAAAGCTGAGCAGGTCTTCCAGTGGGCTGGGGGAGGAGGTGGTTCTGTGTCTCTTTGACCATACCACAAAACCGTTGTCCTGCAGTCTGCTCAGTGCCCCTAAAATACTTGAGCAGCAAGCTCAGGGGAGGACTCTGCTGTGATGGAAGAAGACTTTCAAAGATTCTGGCTGTATTAGCTGGTGATTAAACAAACAAGTGGTTCAGAGTACAACTCTGCATAAAGAGCAGGACTGCTGCTTTTTGGGAGCTCACCTCCTGAGAACAGCATTGGACAAGGACAGCTGGAGATGCTGTTCCTGCCCTTGTGTTCTGAAGATCTGTGGCTTTTGTGGTTAAACTTCTCTGCATATTTCCTTTTGGGTTTTTGTCTTCTTAGGGAGGGATAATAGTGAAAAAGCTGATAGCATTTTCCCAGACTAATTTTCTCTCTTCTGAACTAGGTGATAATCCTCATAGGAAATAAAGCAGATCTGGAAGCACAGAGGGATGTTACATATGAAGAAGCCAAACAATTTGCTGAAGAAAATGGTGTGTTTTTTCTTTTGAGCTGTTATGTTTCCTACAAGATAGCAATGTTAAAGTGAATCCTCAGCATTGATAGCTGCAAGCTTACACTTCCCAAGTGATGTAATTACATGTACCAACTTCTGCTGTGCCTCTGATAGTCTGGCTTAACTCTAACTGTGCTGAGTTCTAGCAACCAGCTTGTGTGTCAGTGGCTTAACTTGGTCACACAGTGCCATTTAGTACTGCTGGTGTCTTGTGTGTACTCTGAAGGTTGTGGTGTGACTGACTTAGGGTTGTTTGAAGTATGTCATGCACTGACTCTCAAACCTCTGTTTCTGAACAGGTTTATTGTTCCTTGAAGCAAGTGCAAAAACGTAAGTTGCTTTTGTCTAGAGTAATGATTCAGATGTGATCTGTTTGAGAGGAGTCTGTTGGTTGTGACTAGGTACAGCTGTGGAGTTCAGGTGCAGTAGGGTTTTATGGGGTGGGGGGCCAACTCCAAACACTCTTGAGCTCTCTTGGAGTGTATGTTAGTGATGGCACTTTCAATCATGTCAGCTTTGACTTGAAGGTAATGTGGAATTTGGACCTCCTGCAATGTTCCAGGGAGATATCTGTTAAATTCAAATGAACTGATTTGGTTTAAAGACATTATTTGAGAGTAGTACATGTGGGTAAGAGTGGTCCTGAATTCCCTTGTGCATTTCAAGCTGTAAGCAAGTTCTGTAGTGAAGAGCCAGAGCCAGTCCCTTTGGTCACTCGAGGAGTTGAACTTGTGGCTGTCAGAACATGAGGGATCAGACCTCCAGTGCCACCAGTAAATGTGGTTCCAATTGGCACCTGTTGTAATGGAACCTGGTAACAAGCAGCTTTTGATGAGCAGTGTCTCAGGCCTCTGTCAGAGCCGCTCTGTGCAGGTGGCTCCACACCTTGGCTTAGTTTTGCTCCTCGGTGTGTTGGCACCTATTTCTCACTCCTGGCTAGTCCTGGTAGGTTTGGTGGCTGGGAGCAAATTCCCTGTCAGGGGCTGTCCCAGGGACAGGTTGTCAGACCTGGTCAATCTCTGCTGCTGGGCCGGTGAGGTTTTCCTGCACGTTGGCACTCGGGGTAGTAACCGCTCCTGCTGGGTGCCCTGTCCGGTGCCAGCGCGTGTCTGGCCAGCTGCCTCCACCTCTGCCTTGCTTCGAGGTGCAGCCCAGTAACTGCCGCCTCTCTCTTCGCAGTGGAGAGAACGTTGAGGACGCGTTCCTGGAGGCTGCCAAGAAAATCTACCAGAACATCCAGGACGGCAGCCTGGATCTGAACGCCGCCGAGTCGGGCGTACAGCACAAACCGTCGGCGCCGCAGGGGGGGCGGCTAACCAGCGAACCCCAGCCCCAGAGAGAAGGCTGTGGCTGCTAGTGACCCCCGTCCTGGCTCCCTGACCTCCCACCTCTGTCTGCGGGAAGCGGGGCTTTCGGCCGCTCCCCTGTCTTCTGTACATCTTACTGGGTTTAATTAAAACTCTGAGACAAGTTTAACACAGTACTAAACTGCTAAACAACTTTAGATGTAATCAGGTTATCAAAGGCAAGTAGAGTAATAAAACCTCTCCTGCATGGTAAATCTAGAAGTTTTTTTTTTTTTTTCCTTGATTGTCCTTGTGATAGTGTCACCGATACATAATTTAAACTGAGCACTGATGCTGGACTCATGATTTTACACTTTTGCAGGGCTTTGTCTTGTACGGTTTAATTTTATGGTTCTTTGGCCTTTCTTCCCCACTTCTTAACTGTTTAGAGCTGTCCGTAGTACAGGATAAGGTTTTGCTGTGAAATGAATTCCGAGGGTAGCGAGGGGCTCTGTAACAATGTGCTTTTGGTGGAAGAATTCCCTGTGGTGTGTCTGGGGGTCGGGGTGGGCTGGCGCGGGAGCGTACAGCTCGCCCAGGGAAGCGATCCACTCACCCTTGTGCTCATAGCTTTATGTCCTTTTTTTGCCACTTTTATCCTTTACATTTGTTAACGGAACATAAATATGTATAAAATCTGAAGGAACTGAGCTAACAGTTAAGTACATCCTGTGTATATGATTTTAAAGCAGATGATCACTGGCACTAGAACAGTGTAGGAGAACGCCCGGTTGTACAGTATGAGCCAGACGTGACCACGCTGCCCCTGCAGCAGGTCCCAGCCGGGGCCGCTCGGTGTCACCGGGGCCGCTGTGCCGGGGGCTCGTCCTGGTGCAGGAGTGAACACTAGTGGAGCCTGTCCCCGAGCCCAACGGGGCCTCCCGGACTCTGCCCCGCCTCGTGCCCCGTCCCCTGCTGTTGTACCTGCCCCTTTCGCAACGGTCGGGGCCGGACTGGGCGGTCGGAACAAGCCGTGTGCTCTCTGGGGATTTTTAACTACTCTTGTATTGGTTTTTTAACAGTTCCCTGTGAAGGTTTCTTCTAAGACTTGGGCTTTTTTAAGCCTTTTGAGTGTCGCCCTGCTGGGGTGAGGCAGCCTGCAGGGTTTGTGTGCAGGGGAGTCCCACGTGGTGGCTGCACTGCTGGGCTTGGCTGGGTGCTGCTCTGGCTCACGGGGAGCGTTGCTTGGAAAACACCACACGGGGTTTAGAAATGGAAGGGGGTGAGTACTGAACCATGATCAGTGTCAGCAGTGTGTAAAATACAAAGTAGTCTTAAAATCCGTCTCTAGACACTAAAAACCACCATGTTCAGACTTGTAAGTAAACAGTGGTACCAGATTATTGTACAGTCAATGTTAAATAAAAGCCAAAACTGGAATGTGCAGACAATAGGATTTGGGTAACTTGTGCACTGTCCCTTTGTTTTGTCTGGTTAGTCCTTTTTTTAAACTAATATTCTTAAGTAGATGGGTATGTTCAAGATCTACAGCTCATGCATCCTGCTCAACCGAGGTTGCACCACAAAGGGTTTGCCCAGGGACCATGACCTGCTGCTGCTGTGAAGTCAATGTTCTAATAACTACAGCTTGTTGAGGTGCAATACCTGTACTCCCGGAGTAAGTTACAGTAGGTCTCATTGTTTCTGTCACAGAAAGGATCTGTTTGGACTGCTGTACTCCTCATTTGATGTAACAATGCTATTAATCTAAATATTTGTAAATAAAGTACCTGTATCTAGATAAACTGAAGTGGCTTGTGGTGTTTGCTCTGGCCCTCTGCTTACAGCGGGACTTCTGAGGGGGCTTGTTCCTCAGAGCTCATTAACAGGACTTGCTGAGGCTGTTTTCCAGCCAGCTCCCAAAAGCTGCCAGGCTGGTGCTGCTGCTGCCTGCAGTCAGGCCTCTGGTTCTTGAGAAAAGTGTCTCCTTAAACTGGAGGAAGAGGAATGTGAGCTCTGCCCAGGATGATGTAAGAATTCCTTGTGGTGATGGTATTTGTGCTTCAGCTGCTGGTGTTCAACCTTTACAGTGGACCTTAAGTGGTAAAACCCTCACAGGCTTTTCACAAGAGGAGTCTGCCAGGCCCTTCTAGAACCCAGAACTGTTCCTGAAGGTGGGTGGTTTATTCCCATTGATAAGTGACCCGAGTTTCACGAGGTACAACAAGAGGTTTCTATTAATGTGGATAAGATAGGGCAAGACTGAGACTGATTTCAAAGCCTGTCTGTATGGGAGGGGTAGAGAGCCTGGGAGAGAGTCACACTGTGCCAGCTGCCTGCTGAAGAGATGTTCTTCTTCAGGACAGGCCTGTTACTCATGCAGGTAACTCCTGCTCTGCTGCCTGAAGGCTTTACCAAGTGTTTCTTCCATTCCTAATTTAGAGCAAGTTGCTTGGAACTCTGTTACAGAACCCTTGACCAGTACTGCAAGTTTCACTTGCTGCAGGGAGGACCCACAGCAGTCAGAGGGTGCTGCCACCATCCTCAGCCAGGACCAACACTGCAGCATGATGCTGCAAGTAAAAGTGTCCTTGAGAGAACTTACCAACCATCTAAATAAGCCAACATCAATCACCAAAGTTTATTTTAAGGAAGCACTCAAAAGTAACTATTCAAACATGCATGAATTGGCCAACAGGTGAACTGACAACTTTGTACAAACCTGCTTTAGAGTGGAAACCGGCAGCTGCCCACAATTAAATAGGAGCTTTGGACACATTAAACTCCTCATTTAAAAATAGTTTTCTTTAAAAATAACCTTATATACATAAAGCTCTGATATTCAATCGTACAAAAACTTCACAGTACTGAGCAGGCCCTGCAGCCAGCGGAGTGTTACAGGGGCAGCTGCCTTTGTGGAAGAGGTTTGCAAAAGGGTGAGGTAGAGCCTCTGCAGGTGCTGCCCACGGCAGCACAGGGATGGGGTGGTGCCTGGAGGAGAGCTGACCCCCCTGGTTCTGCCCCCACAGGACAGTGCCTGTGGTGGGGCCTGTTTGGCTGACAACCCGTAGATGCACTTAAAAGGTTTTTCTTCTCATGTGTTGTAGCTCTTGAAGAAACATTTTTCATTACAAAACATGAGGTACCAGGCTGGTACCATAACCAGCTGGAACTGCTGTTGAGATGCTGGGCTACACATGCATTAAACGCAGAGGAGTGTTCCTGGAAGATGGAGGATGGGAAGAGCTTGACATTTCAGCTGGTCACCCCAGGAGTAACTTCTGTGTCATGTGAGAGTTGACAACACACATCTAAGGGCCAAACCAGCATCAAGTGCCAGGACATGAACCACAGGAATGCTTTCACTGGGAGGGGACCAGACGCCTGAGAATCCACCATGCCCATGGGCTACTTCCCCCTACCACCAACAGGCCTCAATCTTCGGTGCTCCCCCGACTCGGGGAATCCAGCTGGGCTGAGGACGTGTCTCACCTCTGGGCTGAGGACATGTCTCACCTCTGGGCTTCACTGAGACATCCCTCGGGAGCAGGAACGCGGCGGCTGCGCCACCACTGGAATGCTGGCCGGCCTGCTGGGGCCGAGGGCCAGGGCAGCCTGGGGAAAGCAGGAGAGGTCCAACTAATTAACATTTCCAATGAGCAGAGACACATTAAACTGCACAAAATAAATGCAAAAAACCCCCAAACTGAACAACTTTGAGGAGAGGTTACCCTTTTCAGAGACGTAAGGGACTCTCAGCAAACCCCCTCCAGGCCGGGCAGCCTGTGGCTCTGCCAACTACTGACACCTAAAAACCCAGCAAACAGAATTCCTGTGAGCAGCAGAGCGTTACCTCTGGGTTTGTTAAGTTCAGAGCCTTGTGAAGAGGTCCTAGACTCAAACTTTGGGCTCGGAACAGCGAATCTGAAGAAGTGCTGCTGACGAGGTCATCCAGGGCGTCCACCTGTCGCTTCAGGCTGTGCAGGGTCCCTTCTGTTTGCTGCTTTCCTCTCATCAACACTTCCACTTGCTTGGACATGCACTGCCGGAGCCGAGCCTGGAGAAATCATTAGTTCTAATTATAGCCAGCCAGGGTCATTTTTAAGACTGTATTTAAAAAAGTCTGACTACCTTAAAGTCAGGCTGTAAGGGATGTGATGTTAGGAGTCTCAAACCAGAAGGCGATGGCAATGGGTTTGGGAATTGATTTTAAGGAGTTGCCTTCCTCCCATGTCAGAAACAAGCTCCACTTCTATGGCCTCGACCCTGAACTGCTTGAAGAGAGCAACAGGACCTGTTCTGACTGAACCTGGCCCTCGCCTGCACTGCAGTGACCACAGGTGCTCCTGAACTGTGCTTCTCACATTGCTAATACCCCAGCGTGAGGTGAATGAGAGAATCGTGGTGGAATTCTCAAAAATCCAATGAGCTGTTCATTCAAACTACTCCTCCTGATGCAGTGTGCAGTTGCTGAGCTTTCTTCTGTTCCCACCCAGAGGGACCCTGTCCCTAGCTGGCATGTATGGAGCAGAGAGGCCAGAGCTGAAGGTGGACCCTCCCCACCCCCCTGGGTGGTTTAGGTGATTTCTAGAGGGGCCCCAGGGGACACTGGTGTGACTGGGAGATGTGCCACCTTCAGGCGATCCTCGTGATGCTGCAGCTTCTCTCGCAGAGCCTCTCCCCGCCACTGCTCGTCCTGGGGGAGCACAGAGCACAGGCAGCAAGTGAGTGCTGGGCACAGGGCACCAGCACTGACCTGCTCAGCTGCACTGCCCCGAGCAGCTGCTTTCTGAAAGCTTTTTACCATTAGGAAGACTTTTGAAAAATTCAACTTTTCCTCCAATAAGAGGAGTCTTCTGTCAGCAGCACCAAACAGATGGGTCTCCTCCCAGTCATCAGATTCCCAGTGCAGACTCTCCTGGCCTTCAGAATGTGCTTCTGAGTCTTCCAATGGTTCCACAGAGGATGGGCTTAAAGATTGAAACTCCATCTGAATTTCATCTTCAGCCTCTGGTTTAAGCCATGTTGCTGCATTCTCCATTTCCCTTTGTCTCTGTTCCAGGTCTTCTTGAGCTTTAACCTGTGTCACAGAACAGTGAGGATACAAATGCATCATCAGTCTGGAGGGGTTTTCCTGTAGAGCTGACCGAGCTCCTTCTGCAGTGTCCACATTTTGACTGCTGTGATCAGAAATCACAAACCCTCTGAATAGATCAGCCCCAATTCTGACATCACTTTGCCTGTGAAACCTCTTGGATGGTAGGAGAAGTGACTGAAGTTACTAGGACACAACTTCAACCTGTTCATACTCTGACCTTGCATGGTCTTCCTCAAATGCTTTCTAGCTGTTAACAACCTTCTCCTCTGAAGAACTCAATTTTTAAAAGGACTTAGAAACAATTTATAAAGGACTTAAAGGACTAGGAGTCGGACAACATGGAATCACCTTTAAAAGTGAGTATCTAAAGCAGAAAATGCTGGCCCAGGTTGGCACTAACAAGTCATTAAGTGCCTACTGAGTAGCTTTCAACATTGATAGCACTTAGTGATTTGCATAAATTATGACTCTAGTTCTGCCAAGTTCCTACTACCAAACTTTAAGGTAGAAAGGAGCTGGAGTCCCAATTCTTCAAGTGTTACATTACCTGAGCTGACAGGAAACATTTAGGTGCATTTGCTGCCTACCTGGGGAGCACTCAAATCCAGGGACTCTTAACAAGGAGCTGAGCATTACCCCTCAGCCTGCCTCTAAAGGCCAGGGTCTCTTTCTCAGGCATTGTTTTGCTGGGTGAGAGACATCGATCCCTTTGAACTGGCCTCAACAGTGCCTGGAATTCACCACAGGGTGGGAAGCTTGACCACATAGCTGGGCCACTCTGAAGGATGAAACCCTGCTTTAGAGCCTCTGGCAACCCTACACTGAGAACTCTGCATGTGACTGACTGGCTGGAGCTGGTTTGTTCAGTTTTAAACTGGGATTATTGAGCTGCCTGAACCTACTGATCATGAACAGACTTCCTTTCAGACTCAGCTTCCCCCAGAGCTGGGAACATGGCATGGCAGTTGTAAGTAGGTCCACTTCTAACTGGGGTAGGGCAGACAGGAGGAGGTTCCAAACACTATCCCTGTGTCTGGAAGTCAGGGCTTCCCTCAGACCCACCTGCACCTGGCTGCTCAGCGATACCTGGGCTGGGAGATCCATGGAGTCCTGCTGGTCCTGGCCAGGGTCCCTCAGGAGACACGTGGCTGGGCCGTGGCTGTTGTGTGGGGCTCGTTCGGCAGTCGCTCTGTCGCTCTGCCAGTGGTTATTTCCATGCTTTTGTTCCTAGGAAAACAGAAATACTGCCCTGAGCTGGGAGCATCCATGGCAGGAAAAGGCATCAGAAGCACCCACCTAACTCAGTTTCCTCAAGTTAAAAGGTAGAAACAGCATTAACCAGAAGTACCTGGGGGTGTTCTGCAGCAGTCTACACCTACCAGAGTTTCAATGCCTCCAGTTCTGTCTAGTCATTGTTACCAGATTACTTAGTTCCTCCAACAGTAAAAATGGGAGTTCTACCATTTTGCTGGTTAGAAATAACACAAATTCCAAACATCCTCCCCTCAGCCAGGACTTACGTGCAGTTTTCTTTCAAGCTGCACCCTTTTCTTTTTCATTGCTCTTTTCAGACTCAAGATTTCATTTTCTGCTTTTTTCCGCTCTGCTGCTATCTGATCTTGGAGATAGTTTAGCTCAGACTTGGAGACTTCCAGTTCTTTTTGAAGAGATTGTATTTCTCTATTTTTCTGTTGCAATTGTAATTCTCTTTCTGAGAGCTGATGTTCTGGAATCAACATTTTTTAAAAACAATCCTGGTTAGCAGAAGTGTTTCAGTACCTTGGCATATTTCATACACATCATATAGTTTTCAAACATTTTAATCTGCTGAGCAGTGATTTCTAAAAACACTGACACAAGGTGAGAGGGGATGGAACAGCAGCTGGCTTTAGAATTTCTGTTCTTTAAGCAAGTCAGTCTAAGGATCCAGTCAATCCATGTCCTGTACTAGAAACCAAGCCAGAGTAACAGGAATATTTGTTGGTTTCGTTAGAGTTACAACCCACAGATGGTAACAATTGACTGTGCAATCACTCTTACTGCTTTTTCTGACAGCTTCTTCCAGAGCTGCACACTGGGACTCCTCCTTTTCTAGCCTCCCGAGGTTTTCTTCTGCCAGCTTTACTTTTGCTACCGCCTGCTCCAGTTTCTTTTGTTGATCTGTTAGTTCCTTTTCCAATAGTATTTTCTGGTCTTTCACTTTAGCAGTGTATTCTTCCAGTTTCTTTCCTTCATGCTCTGAATTTTGCTTGAGGCGATGAAGAATCTGCCAACCAAGAAAACCACAAGAACCCACCACTTCAAGCTTTAACTAGTACCAACTCAAAGAGAACAAATACATCACCCAAAGACATAATCCAAATTAAAGCAGCTCACACTGGAAAGAACTGTGGTTTAATACTTCCTACTGATCAAAAAACATGCATCCGTTTTTCTGTTTTCTCTTTAATTTTCAGCACAACTCCCTCAGTTTGTCTTCTGGTTAGCAGTCTGTTGAAACTGCTCAGCCAACAGAAGTTCATTTTACTTCAGGAATATATAATTAAGCCCGAATTTTTACAAAGAACTGATGGGCTTTGCACAGAAATAGAAGAGAAAAGAAGAACAAGAGCTGCCAATAGTGATCCACTCAAAATCAAAAGGAAAATTCAGGATAAAAAACCTCTGGGATTTTTTCTGCTTAGTTTTGGAATGATGGAGTTAAGTTTTTGTTAGTTCCACTTAAAATCTATTGTACCATTTCAGGTACTCTGCATGGTTTGCTCATCTCCCCAAAGGTATCAACAGCAAGGGAAATTCTCTGGACAATATCCAGCTGCTGTATTTTGGGAGCTCAGAAAACAGAATAGCCTGTCCTAGTCCATCTGCTCCCCCAGCAGCCAGGGCACAGCACTGCACAGGGCCCTCCACCCCACTGGCCCCTCTGCCCTTGGGGTCACTGATTTGTTTTGCTGTAGTTTTGTTACCAATTCAGTGTAAGATGACCCTGCCACCAAGGAGCATGCAGCTGTGTTGTGACACTAGATTTCACTAAAACACCACTTAATGTTGAATCTTTTTGTTTACTGCTACTCTGCTAAGAATGAGGCTTCATGTTTCTTAAAGCATTGGTATGTTATTTGTAAACCTGCACCCAAAACTTCTTGGTCTGCATTTTTTTAGAGGTCAGGAGGAAATGAGAGAAGTCATCAGGCTCGTTACCGCTGCTTGCTTGGCTAGTTCTGTTTCTTTCTCTTCAATCTCCTTCTGGAGCTGCTGCAATTGGTTCTCTCTCCTTTTCTGTCTCTCTTGGCAATCCTTACGCTTCCTTAAATACTCTCGGATATCTTCTTTTAGGGTTGCCTGCTCTTTAAGCAGCTCATCCTGATGCCTTTTATTATTTTTCAAAGCCTGCAGTGTAAAACAAAGTCAAGTGACATAACTAAGCTGGTAAGAGTAAGAGCTCCCTGGCTAAAAAGGCTTGTTTGAAAGAATAGAACTGATCACCCCTGATCCCACTGGAGATAACCTTCCGTTTGAACCACTGAGGGAATTACCACAGTAGGAACCACAGGATAAAAAGCTAGAAGATGCTGTTTAAAAAAAAATATATAACTTCTTCCTAAAAAAACAATAAACCAGCATGATTTTGCTTCTGTGTTTGGATAGTTTTCTAGAAAGAAGATAAATTCAAAGCCAAACAAACCCACAAAAAGAACTCCAAATCCCCACCAAACCAGACAACCAAAAACCAAAACTAACTCCACACTCCAGCTTGGTAACAACAACCCAACTGGAGAGTCATCCCAGCTGTCACTTAAAGAGAAGACTCAGAAGTTTCATTTGGTAGGTACCTACTGGAGCCCAAATCACTCCAAACTCAGCAG